ACGTGATAAACTGAATGATGACCTGACTTCCTAAATGTACAGAATAAAGTAACAATGAAGCATGATGGGTTTAGATTAGAAGAAAAAAAAAATCCATTGGGGCTCCTTTATTCAGCTGATTTTTGTTCTCATGTCAACTAATAAGCATAAATATTTCTTACAAGTCCTAAATATTCCAAATCATTTTACTGAGGAACAAAAACATGCTCTTCAAAATAACCACAATGCACACTTTCCAAAAAGTTTTATTTGTCATGAAGCTCTGTAAAGTGCAATTGTAGAGGTGATGAAGTTGAAACGACCTCTTCAAACATGATAATAAACCTGTTAAGTTAAAACGTTTTTTTTTTTATATGAAAAGTCCTGCTGACAGTTTAAAACATTGAAACGATACTTAATAATAAAAGATCCCTCACAGGTTTGAAGGATTGAAAAGTGAAAAGTGTTTTACATGACTGTGATAAAGAATGTGATTTTCTATTTCCCATCGCTTCATTCAAAGAAGACATAAAACAGCAAAGATTTGTAACAAAGATTCAGTCAAAACGTGTGTACACAATTAATACTTGCTAAATAAATTAGTATTCTTCTCCTCCTTTTTCTATACAGAAGCTCATGTCTCCTCGCTTAAACCATTTTAGGATTAGATATGGGAATAAAAATAAATTATAACTGTGATTTATGGTTAAGATGCCAAGAAGACCAAACACACTCAAATAGGTTTGTGTGCCCTTTGCCCTTTCTCTCAGGATTGAATGAAACATTTTATTTTACCAAATAAATTTGACACTTTGTTGCCGTGTGCCTTTTGTTTGTGACACAACACAGGCTACAGAGTAATAAATGTTTTTCAGAATGAACTATTGAACACAGGGGGAAATATCCAATGTACTTTGTATTTTATGTGACTGAGTTGTAAAATTCATATTTGAGGAAAGCTGAAAGTGGGAAGCAGAAACATCTGAGTAACAAACCCAGAAACACTCTCAGTCCAACCTCAAATATGTGTTTTAATTTGCTTCCCACAAAAAAACTTCTTGTGCAAACATCTGGACAAATTCATGAAAAAGTGGACAATTTAATATCTGTTCCTGTTTTTATAAAATAATTGTTTTATGTGATAACATTTAAAGCACACGGTGCTCAATGTGGAGCCAAACATGAAACGTGGGTGTGATGTTTTCTTTTTGTTTCAGCTGGACCATCATCCAAACAGCACATGTGGTTCCTTGTTTGTGCATGTGCAAAATATTCTAAAAACAACAACAACAACAACAAAACAACAACCAAGTACAAAGTAGAGTAAAGTAGTGATTCCATCATAACGTGTTGAATGTGACCGAAACATTTTTTTTTTATCTTTCACGGTGTCATTTGGAATCATCAGGCTTCAGTTTCTATAAAGACAACCAGAAACAAAACACCAAACTCCAGATGTTGCAGGATAGTCAGGGTTCCAGGCATCTTCTCACTTGGACAGCTTACTGATGACTCGAATGAGAGCGCCGTTTTCATCCTTTAGCCTCTGATTGTCTGACTTGAGTTCTGTTAAAACCTGGAAAAAGGTTGAAAAGGTGGGAGAAAGAAGTAAGATTAGAAGTTTATCTTTACTCAGCGCACTTTGTGAAATTAGTCTCTGGGTGCAGTGCATAGATTGCCAAACCATCCACTGCAATTGTCACTGCTACAAATTAATTTCAGTAACGATGGAGCGGTGATGACATGCTTTACATTAGTTGTCCATGCAGTGAGGAGTGACAATGACTTTATGCTCTGCAATGTGACAAAGTGATGTGGAAAGAAGTCAACAGAATTAAACAAAGATCACATTTCCAAATCTAGGTCATGGGCAGCAATGGCTGAAAATACCCACCCTCTCTATTTAAGTATCTTCCCCTCAGTTGGAGACAAAAAACAATCTCTGCTAGGGTTAGTTCACTTTATAGCAATAAGTTAACAAGTGGAAACAACAACCATCAATATAGACCCCATTTGAACCCTGTTTTATTTTCTTGTCACTCTCCACACTGTGATCACTTTGTCATTTCAGTGTATCTGTCCCTGTATGTTGGAAATACAGTTAAAAAAATGGATTTTTCAAGGGAAGCTTTGCAAGGGGAAAATATTGATTCCAGCATTTTATCTACAGACTGTACATGAAGAGGTGACTGATTAGTGCAGATTATCAATGAGACTGAAACACACACAAAAAAATACAAAGTAGGCTCAGTTCTTTACAACATCCATCAGTAACAAAATCTGCCAACCAGAACCTAAAAACATCTTTTTTATTTTTACAAATATTGAAATATCAAATGAAGTTTATGACATATAGAGGCTAAAAGGTGAAAAAATTTATTGTCAAACTTTAATTTTTAAACAATGTTAAATGCTTTATAATGAGATGCCCGAGACAGAGAGAGGTTTTCTCTGGTTGCAGCGCAGATTATTGTGCAGATTATTGTGCAGATTATTGCTCACCTTTCTCCACCTGTTGCTATGAGCTGTCCATCAACTATATGATGGCGAATAAGTACCCTGAACTTTTCCCCCTTTAAAAAAATATTGAAAATACTTCCATTTCTGATAATATGCACAGTCTTCATACAGGCAAACTGGCTAGCTACCTATTTCTTATGTAGGACTTCTTTGAAATGAACATTTGCAAAAAGCTATGAGTTAGCATGCGCATCAGTCTAATTAAAAGCTAACTGCAGACTTGGTGCAGAGACTGAAAAGCAGGCTAATTAACTAGTTAGCCTCATGCTCTGGTAAACTGGGGACCTATCCTGGAACGTTCTTTTCTTGGAACACATTGCATTAGTTCCACTTTATATGCAGAACGTACATATACTTTTGTGTTGTAAATATCAGTAAATTCTTTAAAAGGGTTGTAAATATTTTATAATGTTGAGACCTGCAGCTTTTTCCAGATAGCAATAAAGGGAAATGTGAAAGCTGCAGTCATGTTGGATTAAACGCAGACTGAATATTAGTACTCTAGAAGGTTCTATGAAAACTTTTGAGGACGGTGGAGATGGGGTGGAATAAGCAACTGCAGGATGCACAGTAGTGTGAGGCAAGTGAGCATTCAAGAGGCGGGACCTGCCTGAGAGGACGACAGCAGAAGGAAAGGGAAGATACTGTAAAAGCAACAGAAGGAAAGAAGAGTGATGGAGGTTTGTGGTTGAGGAAAAGGAGAGCAAGGAGGAAATTAGGGCAGATGATCTGGAGGATCAAAGGTCTTCTGTTTCTGGCATGGAGGCCGTCTCAGAGAGGCGGGCCAGGACGCGCAGCATGGCTCTGTTCTCAGCCAGGAGACACTCGTTCACCCTCCGCAAGGCCTGGACCTGAGCGAGGGCTGGGAAAACCTGCATACAGGGGGAGAGAGATACAGAAAGGGAGGCAGACAGAGGAACGCAGGCAGGGAGGCGGACCACTTCCAAAAAGAGAAACTTATATAGAGGCTGTTTCCTTATCCACTCAAACGGGCATGCCCAGACAGGAAATGAGATAAACACAGCTGCATCATCAGAATAGCTCACATAAACAAAGATTTACAAAACAGGGACAGTTTGGGAAAAAGCAACAAGCAAGCAATTTGGAATCTTTAAACCTGGACTTTACTGTTTAACATGTTTCTATAATAAAGAGTAAGTCCGTATTATTAAATATTTAGACAATGTAAAGCTTCATTTAAGATTTAAACAAGAACCAGCTGAGTAAAAGTAGCAGTCAGAGAAATAAATCATCGCTCTTTTTTTTCTTGGCTTGACTTTTTGAGGTAAACCTCAATGTGTTTTAGAAATGTCAGTGGTTTGTCGCTATTCCTAAAGGAAAACCACTCAAACCCCCCCCCCCCCCCCCCCCCCCCACACACACACACACACTCCCTCACACATACACAGCCCAGCATTGCTCCTAATACGCACTAGAACAACCTTTGACCTCAGAAGTGTCACTTTGCCTTTTATAGCCCAGACTTTGCTCCTCATAAAAAGCACTGTTCAAAACAAGGTTTCTATCTGATCTGGTCCAAAGACAGAACCTCACAAGCTCAGACCGGAGCGCTTGTCATGTTTCTGGCCACCCAGAAACATGGCTGTGAATGTGAACAAAGATGTTGTGTAAATAAGAAGTGCAGCACCAAACACGGTCATGAAAGGAACCTGAAGCAGCCTGAGTTTTGAGCTCGGAGCGGCTCCAGCATATAATGTTGCTTTGGCTTCAGAACAAAACGGAGCAATCTCTGGAAAGATGCTTTTGGCATCAGTGAAGGAAAAGTCAGAGTGAGGCAAGAATGCATAATGGCCAGTGTTTAAACATGGATATTTTTGATACTGAATAATTTATGACAATACTCTCACTTCCTGTCGATTTTTCAGGAGAGCAGTTCTCACCAAGTTCAAGAGAATGACAAAAAGATTTAAAGTAAAACAACAAGTCTACAACAACACTCAGCCCTCCGTGAGTAGTAAACAGCCATCAGTGTGCTAATGACCCATTGTTAGGCTGATGGTCCTTCTTGAGCATGTGATCAGCTGGTTTTGGTTGTCAGCAGCAAACTGGTTGATCCACCCTGAGAAGGTGCTATTTAAGAGACTGAACTGAAAACAGCACCTCAGACTGAGGAAGTCTCTTGGATGAGAGACGAAACGTTTCTAGATTTTTTTTTGCTTTGTTTTGTTTTTGTTTTTTTGAATGTCCAGAGGACCAGATTGAACTTTTTTTGGATTTTTCTACCTGGATTATTGAGCATGCATCAGGATAACAACAAGTCTAGTTTGTCATAGTTTTCAAAGCAAAAATAGATCCATGCCATCTTATAAGAAGGTCCAACAGCATCGTTACCTGATGTGGTAACTAAAGACCTTTCATGTCAGCAGGAGCACTCTGACCTTGATTTACAATTCACAGTTTGAGTCCATTTTAACTTTTAATATTTCATCCTGGTTCAACCTCATCAATGTAAAACAAAAAGCTAAATCACACAGAATAATTAAACAGTCAAGTGCAATAACTGGCTCATGTCAGAGCTCCCATCAGACATCTACAGCCGCTCAGTGACCAAGAAAGCCACCCTGATCACTGAGGGCCCCTCACATCCACAACACAGCTGCTTCCAGATGTTTCCATCAAGCAGGTGTTACCTTTGTACATCTTGTAAATCTTTGTACCATCTGCAATATTGTTAAACAAAGCTAAATAGACATATCTTAATGGTGGTAACTAATGGTGATAATGTAGTTTTTATTATGTTCTGTTGTTGGTTCTTGGGTGTGTTTGATGAATGTAGAGGGTGTCAAAGGAGAATTTCTGCTACAATTGTGGAAGTTTTTATCTTGTTACATCATTGAACTCAAACGAGAACCTTACTTAGTCCAACCAGAGTCAAGCGTAGGGCCTGTTTCTGACTGGACCAAGATTTTTCATCTGCTCAGAGATGATCAGTCCCAGAAGCAATTGTTTGCTGCTTATTTGCATATTTCAGACACAAACATTATCATCAGTTTAAACCAGTTATGACCGGCACTAGTCCACACATATTTCATGCAATCAAGTTGCACTCCGCCCGTGGTGAAGAGCGGAGTCTAGAGTCGAAGAAAGTCGATTTTCTCGGAGAGCTTGGCACTTAGTTTCCGGGTCGCGGCGGGTCGGGACGAAGTCTCATTGCTAATAACTTGTACCTTTTATCTGCCTTAATAGAAATTAAATGTTAAAACTTTATTATTTTCTGCCATTATTCGTATCGGCGCAAGTCCTCTCTCCACCTGTGAATAACCAGCCGGTTTCGAACGCTGTGGTCAAGCAGCGACAATCTTATTTAAAAAAATAAAATAAAAATAAAATAAACAATGACCAGTGCTACTGATTATAGTTCCTATTAAAAAAGAGAGCCAGAAGATTTCAGAGAGAGAGAAAGAGACATGCCTACCCCAAAGTGCATCCCTTATGTGAAAAATATGGAACAACAGCAATCAGAGAATACAGATGTGCAGGTGAGTGTCTACAGACAAGAAGAGTAACAGCATCAGGATTCTGATTGTTCCCATTTTCACCCACGTACTCATAACATCAACATGATTAATAACATGCCAGCTGTTACTGCATTTGTCTGCAGAAAATAGTACTTCTGTGTTTAAAAAACATGGACTTCAGGTCATTTTTGGGGCTGTTGTTGACTGAACAGCGCCCCCGTGTGTTTGGGAGTTTACTCTGTGTGAGTGATGTGACAGAAGAAGTCTGAGGTGCCTCAGAGCAGAAGACAACAGCTGTAGAGCGTTCACACAGAAAGGTATTCTTATGTTTGACAGGATCAAATAAGCCCACGGGTGTAAACAAACGTGCTCCAGTCTTTGGCAGAGCAGAACAACATGAGGTGGCAAGCAGATGTCAGTCAATCTTCTGCATCACAGCAAGCAACTCACCGTCCCCCACCCCTCCCCCGGATTCCCTGAAACAGCTTGTGTTCAGGGCTGGTACCCACAGCGGAACCGCAGCGGGGCGTCCTGCTGAGGGAACCATGACAACACCGAGGTCAAACATCCTTGCAGACAATTTATCCTTTACCTTGAGTACTTTTTCACAGCTTTGAGTGCATTTCTTGTTGCTCAAAAATGTTAAGTTCTCATCTTTGTGTGTCATCTACCCCCCCCCACACCCCCACCCCCCAACCTAAAATAAATAAATTGGGATTTGGTGCAAAACATAAACAAAAACAGAACACAATGATTTGCAAGTTTCATAAACCCCTACATTTTTCACAATATTAACTATTTAAGAAAACACAATGTCTAACAAAATGTACAGTAACTTTAAATTTATTAGCAAAAACAGGTCTTAAATAAAATTGTGACAGGGGCAACAAAAGGCTGTAAAGAGAAAGTGATACAATTAAGAAACAGCTGGAGGAGCTTTTTGAAGTAATTTGGTTTATCAGCAACAAGTCAGTAAGAGGACTGGGTATAAAAATAACCAGTATATGGGCGGCTGTGGCTGAGTGATTAGAGCAGTCGTCCTCCAGTAGGAGAGTTGGGGGTTCGATTCCACCAGCAGTCATATGCCGGAATGTCCCTGGTCAAGACACTGAACCCCTCATTGCCTCCAATGTGTGTTCCATCAGTGTATGTGATAAAGCACCGATTAGTCTTTGTATAGATCTAGTAGAGTGCTGTATGAATGGGTAAATGAGGACACAGATTGTAGTGTAAAGTGCTTTGAGAATCTTAATAAGAGAGAAAGGCCCTATATAAGTACAGTCCATTTACTATTTAAAAAGAGCAATTTATAGTTTGAATCTTTTAGATGTAAAGATAGGCAGAGGTTGGAAAAATCCAACAAAGACTCAGGACTGTTGAACAAATAGACTCGTACACAAGACAAAAACGGGACAACATGTTGCTCCAAGACTTCCAGCAATTAGTTTCCTCAGTTCCTAATTTACAAGCTTGTTGTTAAAAGAAGAGAGGATGCTCACATAGTAAAAATAGCCCCATTTGTTTGTATTTTTTAAATGTCGTGCTGCCATTCAGTTCAAAATGACACATTTTTTCCTATAAAATAAATAAAAAAAACCATGTTTGCTCAACTGTGTATAAAACATGGGTTTATGATATTTGCAAATCATTGCATTCTGTTATTTAGTTTTTACACCACATTCCAACTGTATTTGGGCTGTGTAAGTTTATATTTTAAAGCCTGACAACGTCTGTGCCTGGGTTTCTTTGTGAAGCAGAGCAGTGCAGGAATGCCTCCCAAAAAAGCAGTTTTTTTTTTGTTTTTGTTAAACTTTTGGATGGATTCTGGTTTTCAGCTGGAACTGGGTCACAGTGTTCGCCCCAACACTGGGAGAAGTGGAGCAGGAGAGCAACAGAGCAGACTCCTCCTTTAGGCTGGCAGAAACACACTGTGGGTAATGAGCCTGTATTACCCTTCACTCCCCTTGACTCTAAAGCCGCCTGGCTGACCACAGACCTGTGATGAGAAGTACGTGTGCTCTGCTCTGCTCTGGGAAACACTTTAGCATGAGTGGGAGAGGGGCAGCTTTAATACAGGTGTGGAACTTCAAGGGTTGTTTGAGTTTACATCCATAAAATAAATGAAGCACAACTTGTGCATTAGTATATATAAACTGTTGGGACTGACCTTTATTTCCTCCTCCATGTCTGACACTTTTTTTTCAAGAACTTGTTTCTCCTGAAAATATAACAAGAAATAAGGCAAACGGAAGGCAACAATATTTGGATGCCTCACACTTAATAAAGCAGACAAAATAAGCTTGAATAAAACAAACAAACAAACAAACAAACAAAAAGATACTAACCCTTTTCTCTGATTCAAGAATTGCCGACCTCTCTGACATCCGGTCCTGCCTCTGAAAGTTAGAGCAGTGATGTTAGTGGAGAATCTGTACAGCATTTTGTTTAAAACGATGAAGCATCATATGTTTATCTCAGCACATTAAAATAAGTGACAACCAGTGAGTATTTTTGTTTCTGTTTCAGCTGCTGTCACCCTGGAATCTTATGCTGTGTGAAAATTTGGTACCTGTGTGACTTTCTCCAGTTGGGAACGAATCTTGACTAATTCTTGTTTGCTGTCCTGTAGTCTGGACTTGAGTCTCTCGTTCTCGTGCAAAGCTTCTGCATATTTCTAAGAAGTGACAGGAAGGTGAGCAATTCAAACTTTTCTTACATATATACATACAAATTAAATGAGTCTGACAGGCCATAAGAAAATCTAGCAGATATTTTTTATTCCTTTTCAGTGACTGTAGAAAGCACATTCATGTTGACAAACAGAAAGATATACTGTATTTGGTAATCAGCATAATGAGTTTGAATACCATATATGTTGCATTTGTAATACAGTACTCCACCCCTACAGTGAAACATGGTGGTGGCAGCATCTTGCTGTGGGGAATGGATACTTTTTTCAGCAGAGGCAGTGATGCTGGTACAGTTGATGGGAAGAGGGATGGAGCTAAATACAGGGAAATCCTGGAAGAAAATCTGTCAGAGGCTCTAATAGACTTGAGACTGGGGCAGAAGGATGTTCACCTTCAAGCAGGACAACAATTTGAAATGTCAGCCAGAGCTAGTAACAAGTTTTAATTCAGAGCATGTTCATGCGTCAGAAAGGCCCAGTCAGAGTTCAAACCTATATCCGATTGGAAATCAGTGGCAAGACTTTAAAATTGTTTTTCACAGTTGCTCTTCATTCATACTGACTGAACTTACTGTTCTGCAAAGAAGAATGAGCTAAATTTGAGATGTGCAAAAGCTGTCAGAGACAAACCCTAAAACAAGGTGTTGACCAAGGGAGGCTAAATACAAATGCACACCACACTTTTCAGGTTTTAATTTGTAAAAATAATTAAAAATCATGTATATTATTTTGTTTACTACACAAATATGCATTACTTGTGTTGGTCAATAAGATATAATCCTAGTAAAATACTTTTGTAGTTTGTAAGTTTGCAGTTGTAGATGAAAAAATGTGAGAAATATGAATACTTTTTAAAGGTACTCTATCAAGCCAGACTGTATTCAGTGCTGTAACCTTCAGTGGTGGCTGCTCAATAGTGGGCGCAAGGGCACCGCCCCACCAGTCACGCCACTCACCATACATTGAAGACTTAAAAAAAATTAAAAAATAAAATTAAAATATTTCAAAATATACATGTGTATATATATTTTTAGTTGTGTAGGATAAAAATGTTATACTTAATGATGAGTTAAGTTGTTTCTTTCAAAAACGTTGTCTCTGATTGGTGACATATTTCCTCCCTGGGGGAGCAAGAATCTTAGCCCATAGACTCTTGTTAAAAGTTGTACATGCACAGTTAGCTCCTCTTTCTTGCAAGAGATAGGAAGATTCTGGGCGCACCACTCCAGCGCCCTGAGTACATGCGCACTGTACGGATCGTGTTTCCGGTCCCGCCATCCCAGTACAGATTTATGTATTTATCTATGCATTTATTTATTTATTGTCCCAGAACAGATCGTGCAGTGACACTTACAACCAGGCTATGTATGAAAATTATTTAGCTGTCAGACAGTAGCACATTAAAAGAGGCATAGCATTAATTTTGATCAGGCAGATGGGAGACCCGCTGCATTCGGTGCTGGGTTTGTTGATGCCGGCTGGGGTCCTGTGTAGAAAGGAAAGAAATGTGGACCACTACCTCCAGTAACGTGGAAAATTCTAACGGCAGTCATCATTAATGTGCCTTATTTACTGTGTTTACACAGATAAGGAATGAGTTAATAAAGTGCACAGACGTGAGCATGAGTGAGCAAACTGATGAGTCTGTGATGCGTGTGTGTGTGTTGAATGTCTTGAACATATATATTTTGGTATATGTCTATTTTGGAGTTTTAAACCACCTCCCCACGGTGGAAATTCCACTAGCTGTCACTAACCTTGAATCAGTCAAGAGGAACTAACTTGTTTAAACCAAATTAGTGAGTTTTTACCTTCTTGTAGTCTTTGGCAGTGGATTCTTGGTCCTGTCTGTTCAGAGCAGCCAACCTAGTCTCTCTCCGTGTGTAGGAGCTTGTGCGGCCCAGTGCCTTCTCTGTGGCACTTTCTCCAGTGGAGTCATACCTGAACACAACACAGTTTATATTCACCACACAGTGAAGCTTTTAAAACATTTTTCTTTCCAAAGTTCTGTAATCTAGGAGTAAAAAAAAACTTGATCTTACCTTGACAATCTTTCATGCTGAAAACAAAAATAGGGGTCCATGTAAGTTTGATCATTTAGCATTGCAGCATGAGAACAACACAGTGTAAACTCTTTGGGGGTGATTGCATCCAGATTTGTTTGTTTGATTAGACCAAATAGAGGCTTAGCAGAAAAATTGCTTCCATTCTGAGACAAAGAGAACATTACCAAAGTTTCTGGCTGAATTATTACAACATGTTCAGGGGTCTGTGGTAGCTGAAGCCAGGAGGGTTTACAGAAACGAGTTATACTACTGCTTTAATTGAGTTCACAGAGCTGAAGCTTTTAGAATAGACGGCTGCCTTGTAAATGGCTGCAGCACATAGATGGCATCATGACCTCAGAAGTCAGTTATGACGGGCGGCTGTCCCACCTCAGACAACAGATTTATATCAAAGTGTCCTGGCGGGTTTTATGATGCGAGTCATGACGGCCAGGTTTCCTGTTCGGATCACATTCTGTATTTGTGTCATCAGGGAGGCTGTGTGCTGTGTTACAGCAGCAGCCCCAAACGCTCTCCTCAGGTCTCTGCTGGAAGCAGTAATACCAAAGAGATGAGCATAAATCTGGTACGGCTTCTGGTAAATTGAAAGATTTAGAATCGCCCTCCTGCTTGGGGAAAAAAAAAAAAAGCTTTTCAATGATTGTGTTTGGAAATGCTCCTCAACTAAACCTCTTGTGTGGTGCTATCAGGTGCTGGAGATGAGAACCAGATGGTACAAGGTTTTGGTTTCTGTGCTCAGATTTTGTTAGATTTCATGTACAGTCCGAAGCTATTCCTACCCCGGAGACAGGAGCTATTCTGCAGCGAGTGTTTACGTAAGTGAGCTGCCTCTCCTTATGTGGTCATGTGCTTCTGCAGAGCTATCCAGGAAAATACAGACCTCTGAGGAAGCAGAGTCAACGAGGGAGCCAAGAAGAGCTCTGCCAGTCTTTCGGGTTGCTGTGCAACAACAGGGAGATCCTCGATCACACTTGGCATTCATGCCACAACCTGCAGGGATGACTGAATCTTTGCTTGCATGAATAAAAGATCACAAAGTCTGCTTGTAGCGACATGAGCCACGACCTGTGTGGTTCACACTGAAGAATTCTTGATTTGGTTTACTCAATTAAAAAAAAGGCATTCCAATGACATTTTGAGCAGACCCTGAGGGGGTTCAATAAAGTAGTTTTAATGTAAAATGAGTTACTAACTTAAAACACAAAGTGTATGCAGAACTGAAATTCTTCTTCTGGTGTAACTTGCTCTGGTTCTGTAGCCTTGTTTTTTCATTCAACCTTTATTTTACAGGCTAGTCTCGTTGAACCTCGAGGACTCATCTACAAGAGAGACCTGTTTTAAACAAAGAATGATGACAGCAGTAGACAAACTTAAAAGAAGACATGATATATCACAAGAAACTAAAATAATTCAAGCTTGCCTTACAATTTAGGTGAAAAAGCGAATAGCACATGTTTACCTGTTTATTTATATTTATTTCTACCTATAATAGTGAAAGGAAGAGCGTTTCCATAAAAATAAAAAAAATAAAAAATGTATATATCAAAACAGTGGATCTAACATCTGTTTCATCTTAGGAACAGCAAGACTGAACGAAGAGTAGGAAAGGAATTTGTAGATATGTAATCAGATTAAAAAATAAATAAAAAGATGGATGTAACACATACAGCCAAAGATTTACCGTGCACAATCCTGGTACTTAAAGGTAGAGAACAAGGAAAGATTGGAGTCATGAACAAGATAATGTACAGGGTAACTACAATTGTTAGAAGTTAGAGGGGACGGGCATCGCTGCAAACTATCAGAGCAGATGGTGGAGAAAATGATCAACTCATCGGATCGGGTGAAGAATTAATCACAACTGCCAGGTTTGACATCACACACACACACACTGATCATCCCCATGAGCTCCTATAGTAAATAACACCATCAAATTGAATTTATTTAACATTACAAAATGTCACCTCCTTCCTCTCTGTCCATCACAGCATCACTTGCTCCAACTGCAAGTGGAAAATCTGAGTTGTTCCCTCCCACCAGGAGAAATATCACTTCATACAGAACCATAAAAGACGTTTCTTTTCACCTTTGCTCACATCAGTCATTAACTCTTTAAGGTAACTCCAACTAACAAGCAGCTGAGATCATCCTCTTTTTTAAAATAAAAAGGAAAGTCACAGATCTAATGTGAGCTGACATTTTCAAGCAAAACACTTCGTTGGTTGAACTGTTCACAACAGATATGCATTTAAACTCAAAGAAAAGAAACCATAAAGGCATTAAAACACTTATTTACCAGTATATTTAGTATGTGTTATTATTTTAAGCTAAATTTTACATATTAATTTTAAAAAAATACTCAAAACGTTTGAAGCAACACATTTCCAACTAAAATATGGTGAACATATTTGACTTAAGAAGGATAATCTTTCTAGTAAAAGTTTTTGGTTGTAAAAGTCTGTCAAATGTGGAGCATAGCCATGGATGTTAAAGCATTCCTGTTTCCCAAAGGGAACAATGAACAGGCATCAAAATGTTCACAATTTTAGCTTGTTTTATGATTAGCAGCTTTATGAAAAAAAAGTCAAACGAATCCCCAAAACATGCAGTTTGGTCAAGAATAGGATGCTTACCACTTTTGGTAACAGTATATCACAAAACTTAGACAAACTTCTATTCAAGTCAATTCAGGTTTTTTTATATAGCGTCAGTCGCCAAGTCACAACAGAAATCGTCTCAGGGCACTGAACAGAAAAATTCATATATATAAAAATAATAATTTAACATTATTTATCTGAGGAGCAGACTGCTTTGGATTTAACTCCATTACAGAACTCTCATCTGGAGCAAGCATGAAGGCGACAGTGGAAAGGAAAAACTCCCTCATGAAGAAGAAACCTTTAACAGAACCAGGCTCAGGACAAGCGGCCATCTGCTATGACCTTGAGAGGAACAGGAAGGAGGAACAGATACACAATGGCAGGTCGAGAATCACGCTAAGATAGAAATAATATCAAATGAAAACTATTCACTTTTAACAATGAATTTAAGGAAATTAGGTCAATTTGTCCTCCAGTAGTCTAAGCTTAAGGCAGCATAACAAGCCAAACCTAACTATAGGATTTATCAAAAAGGAAAGTCTTAAGTCCAGTCTTCAAACTGGACAATGTGTCAGCCTCTTGGACAGAAACTGAAAGTTGGTTCCACAAGAGAGGAGCCTGATAACTGGAAGATCTTCCTCCCATTCTGCATTTGGAAACTCTAGGAACCACAAGTAAACCTGCAGTCTGAGAGTGAAGTGCTCTGTTAGGAAAATATGGAACAATTAGATCTCGAATATAAGATGGAGCTAGGTTGTTGAGAGCTTTGTCGGTCAAAGGTTTAAACGGGTCACAGAAGTTTGGATTTTACATGACTGAGCTGGTGTTTTAACATCTTTAACAGTCCAACATTTTTCAGTCTGGTCATCTTGACGGTTTCTTTTTTTGTGCTGATCTATGTTTCGCCTTCGGTCCAGAAGGCTTCATCAGTCAAGGAAACACACAAAAAAATTGATTCTTCCCCCAACAGCTTACTCTAAAGTGGAACAAACCAGTTCTGCTTGTGATAAGATGGTCTCTTTGGCACGCCCCCTCCTCCATTGCCGGTCCTCCTCCTTGTTGACAGTCTTGTCACACTGGTTGAAATCTTTAACAGTGTTTTACAATTACAGTTCAAGCTTCATGAATTTTTTTTAATGTTTCCACAGAAAGATCAATGGACTGAAACTTTTGAGCCTCCTAATTTTATTTTTTTATTTTTCCAAACTCTTCGGATTCACTGAGCGTTTTAGTACATTTACAAAATTATACATAAAAATGTTTTTTTTTTTTTTTTTTGTTGTTTTTCATGCTGTGTGACTTTTAAAATTTCAGTCTTCACCAAAATCCCCTCAGAAGGGTGCAAAGTGCGCTCCAAACTTTAAAATTGAATTTATTTTTGAGCTCATAATTTTTCTGTACAATACTGATAGTTAACGTTTCATTTTGACTTTTTATCTTTTTCACATAAAACACTGTAGAAAGAGTTTTATGTGAGTGATGTCAAAGCTTTTACACAGCGCGTTTTCATTTAAGTTTATGATTTTGTCTTTTTATTTCTGCCTCTTAAGGGTGCTCTCAGGGAGTGAGAGGCACAGGTGTGTGGTTGCCATGGTGACCCTTATGAGCCACTGGCAGCATTTTCACTTCACTTTAGTATACTGATCAAAATGAAGGCATTTGTTCAGATGTTGTTGGGATTTGGGGCAGAAGCTGCAATAAATAAATTAATAAATTAATGAATTCTGGTTTGTGTTCCAGTCTCTCAGAGCTGGAACACAGAGTTTCACCAAACAAGGCAATAATTTAATCAAAACTTTGTAGCAAGTGCCTCTGCCTTTTCTCTCCCAGCTAAACTCTGCCTATTTAAACCCGGTGACCTCGTGGACAAACAGCAACTGGGTTTCACTACAGGTACAGCAGTGTCACGGGTGACACTTCTTAAAACAGCAGGGAGCCAACTCCAACGGAGAACCAGAGAATCACAATGTGTTCACCGGAGGCATTCATCATTACCAGATGTTTGCAGAGATGTCAGGGTTACTGAACACATCTGCAAATTGTTTCTTTTCTTTTTCTGCCTGTTTCTGTGTTCGTTTGATCCTCCTTCCTGTTCCTCTCAAACCCAGCCGGTCGAAGCAGATGGCTGCTCGTCCTGAGCATGGTTCTGCTGGAGGGTTCTTCCTGTTAAAAGGAAGTTTTTCCTTTCCACTGTTGCCTTTGTGCTTGCTCAGGATGGGAGACTGTGACAAACTGAAGAATCAGCAGCAGTCTGCTTGTTTCCTTAGATAGAGAACTTTATTAATTGGCTTTTCTTTGTATGTGAATGTTTCTGTAAAGTGCCCTGAGACAACTTTGTTGTGAACTGGCGCT